ACTGCTGCTGCACATTCTGTTTGGGGGTTTGTCCCCAATCACTAACAAAACCCATCAATCCTGAGACAACTGGAGCAGTTGCCGTTTGAAAAATGTTCAAGGTACAGAAAATGCTTGACTGCCATTATTGTCTCAAACAAATGAAATATTAGATTAGAGGAATAAAGAATGATAGGTGCTATTTGTGTCAGTTTCAACTTATTTCACAGTAAATTGGGATTCTTTGGGAAAAGGTGGGGTATCAAAACTTTTGGCCACATATAAGTTTCAAATTTCTACAAAGACATGATTGTATCCATTAAATCAAGGCTCCCCAACCTCCAGACTGTGGACCAGCACCAGTGAGTGAAGCCTCATCTGTGAGATCCAGGCGGTTTGCAAAACCATGCCCCCACAGTCCACAGATTCCCAAAAGATTGGGGGCTACTGCATTAAAACAGAAATTGAATACTAGCTGTACTTTTTAATAAGATACCTTACAAATTACTTTTAATATTGTTTGGTTTGATAAATATTTAATTATTTAATTTCTTATAGCCTCCCAACTCAACCAACTGACTCTGGGCAGCTTACAATTCTAAAATTGTAAAACAAAAAATAAAAAAACTAAAACAATAAAAACATTCACAAACTAAATACAAACAGCAGCCATGATGATTAATCAACTAATAAGAAAACCAAGTAACAGGACCCTTAACACATTCCAAACCCTAGGCCAGCATTTTAAAGCTTTACAAAAGGTCAACAGGGCTGGGGCTTAAATGGCCTTCCATAAATGGATGATTAGGCCAGGATCCATAGCACTATTTTCAGCCTTCTCAATGAACTGCATCTACTACTGATAATTTTAAAAGTTTCCTCAATTTTTGAAATCTATTTGTTATTGAATGTGTGTGTGTGACAGAGTGTCTGTTTCTATTATATATGAAAGTGGAAGGAGGTTACTACTAAATACCATGTAGCCTTCCAAATATGATACTTTGGTGTAACTTTTTATTTTTACAAGCAGGGCAATTACTACAGCAATTTGAAACCCTTCTGTCATACTGTTTTTCGAAACTGATGAAAGAACACTCAGATATAGTATGGCTCCTTTGTTGCGTACCTGGATCTAAATCAGAAATAGACCTAGCATTATCTCAATAAATTTGTAAGGGCTTGGTTTGGATTTCAGTTGGTTGGTAAAACCAATTTTCCTCACTTTTAGATGGAATGGTAATAAGGCTATAGCTTATACCGAACTATTCAGGCTTAGCAGGTCTTTACATTCCAGGGATAGATAAAGAACTTACTTTACACTAGACAGGGTGAATTTTGATGGCTACAGAGAAGAGGGGATGTTGAATAGGCAATGTCTAATTGTCTGTGTGTCCTGCAAATTTATATTAATTTCTGTCCTGCTGTTTCCATGCAACAGCAAATACATGCAAGTGTGCAACTGGCGTACCTGTCACCATCTCAGCCAGACAATTGAGGAAAGAGGTATTGATATGGTATAGTCCCCATTTCTCAAGAATGCATATCCAAAAACAATTCAGCTGATTCAAGCACCTCTTTATGCTTATATAAAATTGACTGCCCGAGGCCCAAAAAATCATTTCTGGATCTAGCAAAAACAAAGCTTCCTCAAGTGGCCCCTTTAATTATAACTGACAGCTTCCAGTCTCCCTGGTGTGAGACAATACATGAAAATTTAAAATCCTATGGTTTCTCATAGGCAGCTATCATCTTGATGGGTTACAAATATGCAAGTCTTTAACAACATGCCACTGACTTAGAGCTACAATCAGATTTGTCCCTCTTGCCCAGAAACATTCTTCCAAGACACCATTTCACTTAGCCAGAAGCCTCAGTGCATAACAGCGCCTAAATTTACAATGGCTCTGTCTTTGGCTTGATTCAATGCCTTTACAAAAGCAGTCATTGAGGGGAAATACAGTACTGGGACATCCTTTTTGAGCAGTGGAGGAACAATCAAAATGCTAGAACATGTTCTGTTGTACTGCTGCCTCTGTGCTGACACTCATCAGGAATTAGTATTCACACACAGCATCAGACACCCTGGTTGCACTGATTCCTTAAGTTGTTACTATCAGATCGTTTGGATTCTATTTCAGAGATAGCAGCCAAATATTGTTTCATGCTTTACACAACATAATTTTTCTTCCTTCTAGATATTTCCACACTTCAAATAGAGCTATCTATTTATTCACTCTCTACTTCATAACAATATATAATATTATAGTATGTCATTATTGTCAATTGACTCTTATTTTAGAGATCAGCTGCCAGACTTATTTTAACAATATAGTCACTATAGATGAAGATTATTTTAGACTTGAAACCATGATCACTTAAATATTTTTCTTTCTTACATATTACATTAGTGGTTTTCTAGATGTAATATTAATATTTAATTATTTTATATAGCTATCCATCTCTGAGTAGTCTGGGTGGTTACAATAGTCAGAAAAATGCATTTTTCAAAAAAAGAATACATATGTAAAAAATAGACATTTAAAAATAGAAAAATCAGCATTAAAATAGAGATGATTAAAACTAAAAATGTAGAAATCCAAAGTGAGTACAGATAGTCCTAGACTTACACTTGGTCACTTAGAAACCATTCAGAATTACAATGGACTTCCCAAAAAGTACTTATGACCCAATACTAAATTTTTGATGGTTTATCCACTGGTGGTCACATGACCGCATTTCAGACATTCAGCAAATGACCTGCATTTATGGCTATTTGCAGTGTCCCACAGTCATTTGATGGATTTATGCCATTTTTGTCAAAAACCAGGATTTTTGACAAGCTCCCTTAGACCCCTTTCCTAAAAAGAGAAGTCCCCCAAAACCATAAATCTGGGAAATTCCATTGCCAACCCAGAAATGGAGTCAGGCAGTTTAGGTAGAGTAGTTGCTATACAGCAAGGAGGCTGATGTTGTAGTATTAGAATAGAATAATAAGAATAATGAAGAAGAAGGGAGGAGAGGAAGGGAAAAGAAGAGAAAAGAAAAGAGAATAACAACAGAACACAACAGAATGGAATGGAATATTGGCCAAATGTGATTGGACACACAAAAAATTTGTCTCCAGTGCATAAGCTGTCTGTACATATAAACAACGAAGTAATATAATCATAAGAAGTAGAAGAAGGTAGTAGAAAAGATGAGAAGGATAATAGAATACACCATACTACATGGTTAAATAGATATAAGACAGTACTGTAGTAATTAGGTGTTCAGCAGGTGATGGCACGAGGGAAAAAACTTCCTGGATCTAATTGCTTTGACATGCAATGCCCTATAATGGCATCCTGAGGAGAGGAGTTCAAAAGTGCATGTCCAGGATGTGAGGAGTCTGTAGATATTTTCTCAGCCCTCCTGATGCATGCAATATACAGGTCCTCAATGGAAGGCAGGCTGGTTGCAATTGTTCTTTCTGTAGTCCTAATAATCCACTGAAGTCTATATCTGTCCTGTTCGGTTGCTGTACTAAACCAGATAATTATAAAAGTACACATGATAGACTCATTAATTCCTCTATAGAACAGTATCAGCAGCTCCTGGGACAGTCTGAATTTTCTGAGTTGATGCAGGAAGAACATTCTTTGTTGTGCCTTTTTTAATGATGGTTCTAATGTTATTTCAAAATCCTGGGAGATTATAATTATAATGGTTCTATATTTTAGATTGGTAATTTTATTTTTCTATAAAGCATGTCTACACAACATGTAGCCTGCCAAGTAATGTTGAGTGGCCTATCAACAGTTTTAAAAGTGATAAATTCACCAGGGCCCCAAAAGTTGCAATGCCAAGCATCTCAAACCCTCAGTGCCACCAGCAACTCCAGTACTCACTCAGCTAGCCACCAAACACCTGCTGTAGTGTTAAAGGTAAAGCATTGAATTTGGATCAGAAACACTGAGGTTCAAATCCCCCGCTGAACCATAGAGTTTAACAAGTCAGTCTGTTTCAACAAAACTAAAACAGTTATTATTCAGAGGATAAAATGGAACAATCATGCACTCTGGTGAGCTTTCAAATAGAATGCAGGCCACAAATGCAAAGACAAAAATAATAAACTTGACATCATAGATTCTCTGTGGTTCCTTCAATTTACCAAGGAATGGTTTTATGTTTCAATTATTATTGATTACTGCATAGAATTAGCTTTGAGAATTTATCCTTTAAGTAGAATTAAATATTTGAAACCTGGTTTTTCTTTATAAACTCCTTTAGGTCTCTTCATGTTTTCTTTGGAAGAGGAATGGGTAGTATGTTGAGTAGATTGCAAGACAAAATTTTCTTTGTATTCTGGTCTTAATCGATCCTTAATAAGTCCTGTCTCCAAGTTCCAAGTAACAAAATGGTCTCTGAAAATACAGCAGTAACCAAGCAAAACAAGCAAAAATGTACTATTTTTATTAGAAATTCTATTAGCATACAATAAACATTTAATTTGTAATAAAGCATAGGAGACAAATTTAAACTAAAATGTATGTTGAAAAGTAAATGAATGCCTGGGTTTACAAATTTCTGCTAAATTTGCCTGCTAAAATTAATCCAAATGTTATAAGAATTGCCACTTCATATTGATTTTTTAAATTTTAGTCTCAAAACAGACTTGAGTTTTCTGATTTTGCGATGTTATACTGACTCTACTGATTTTACAATTCATAAAAAGCATAATTTTCTAAAAAGATTACCAGTAATTGGTTAAGGTTTGAAGCTTAAAACTATTCTAAATTGGTCATAGTGATAGATGGTGTAAATAATGCAATTTCTTTCCACGTTAAGCAATTTCTCTCCAGATCATAAGCACAATTGCAATTTCACTTAGTTACTGCTTTTGCTCAATTGACCAAGTTGCTGATCCCAATTGGGGTCACTAAATGAGGACTACCTGCAATAGAAATATGTGCTTTTTCAATAACTGCAAAATGTTACCTGTTCTCAGAAAGACCAAGTAGAAGGCCTCCTTCTAGCATCTTGTATTCATTATTTGGACAAGGAATTATGTAAAGCCCACTCTGTTTCTTTATGTACTTCTTTTTCAGGAGATCATAAACTATCAGTGTCTGGAATTGCATAAAAATTTATTTCTGCTTGGTGTAGAGGAAGATCTGCAAAGTTGTAATACATGTACATCTAGGAACCCTAAATGTTCCTGTTTTTCCTCATACAAGGTGGTCTTAGGCCCCTCCCTGACAATCCCTACTGCCACACACATATTAACAATTAGACAATCCCTAATTCCACACATATATCCACCATTTTTAGTGTGCTTCTATCCACTATTTTTCCCTATAAAATAGCTTTCTGACACTCAATTATTCAGGAATAGATGAACTGATGGTTCACCCATATTTTCTAGATTTAACTGACAAATTTCATTTTAAATCCATTAATTCCTTAAAGGATATTTAAACCCTTTAATACTTTTATTTCTCAACAGTTTGGATAACGTTCACTAGAAAATCACTTCTTATCAGACTCAGCTTTTTCTCAATAAATTCATCATTCAATGAAATCAGCTGAAAAGCAAAGAATCAGTATTTATAGAGAAAAAAATTATGTTCAGTACCTGGAAAATCGATCTTGGGGGATCTGCATAGGAGGCTATTCCCTTGCCTGTAAGTATATAAAGTTTCATGTCTCTCGCCAGTACAATGTCTGTGTTCTCTACCAGCCCTCTTTCCACTCTCACAGCATTATGTTTACACTTGGATTTTACAATATTCCATACTGTTATGACTCCCGGACTTGTGTTTCGGCACACAGCATACCTTTAGAAAGATAAATATAAATAATCTTGTTATTGATATATTGCAAAAATGTCCAAACATTGTTATTTCTCTGTTGTTGAAAAAATGGCAAGAAAAAAAATTGTTGTAATTTGCCATATATTTGCTTGTGAAACACTATTCCTTACCATTATATTTTATTGCAGTAAAAACAAACAAACATAGTTTTATGTGGAAATAGGATAGTTGGCTGTTTTGAGCTGTGAAATTAAGGATTAATAATTGCAGTACAGTATGAGTGATCAGCTGTATGCCCACCTGCTTCCTTTATCATGACCTGCGCACTGCATTTATGTCCTAATTTTCCTCTAAGAGCTCAAGGACTTACATGGGGATTTCCCCTTATCTTGGCCCCACAACCAAAGATCTGTATGATAGTGGATGGCAAGGAAGGCAATTATGAAATCAAAACAACACTCATTTGATGAAAAGCAAATGAAGCAAAAATACCTTCCAACATCCAATGTATCTTTGTTACTGAAATCAAGATGATGCAAATTAAAGATATCTTATTTGAGAAAAACTGGTGTTCAGGTAAACTGAATGTTAAAATGAAAAGATATTTCCATATGTAAGTTCTTGCTTCAATACAGTAAACTCTAAGGTGTAGGTTCTACAAATGCTTCCAATGTTCCAATTCTGTGTGTATCTTTCACAGGTTCCCATTAAGAGCCTTCAGCATTTATTCCAGGTTTGTTCAGCACAGCATAAAATAAAATTACCATAATTAAATATAAAACTACTTAGTCCTGCAGTAATAAGGGTTATGTTGAAGTAAGTCAGATGGCCTATAAATGTTATAAATAAATATATAAAACAAATTTAAATAAAAAAATAAAATAAAGCAATGAATATAAATTCATAAATATTGAATAAATGAGGCAATGAGTATAAATGCATAAATATTGTAGAGGTCCAATTTCTAACTTTTTCTCGGTCCTACAGAAATTTTTGTAGCCTTCGTTTTTTCCTCAATCCTGGTTTTCTTACAAAATACAAGCAAAATAGAAATGTTATGTTGGAAACAGGTTGTGCTACCTTTAGAATTGGTGAATTCAACTCTCAAAGTGTTATACATAATTTATTTCTAACATAAACTTCCCTCCTATTCTGCCTATTTTGGTTACCTGGGATAGTTTTTCATTGTCACAATATCCTGAATACCATTTGTTTTCTTTGTGTTGCTTGCAGTGACAGTCAAAGACTGGTCATTGATCTTGGAAGCCAAGTTCCAGGATCGAAGGTAATTATCTCCATCACAGAAAGCTAAACAATATCGAAGGTCAGAGCATATACCTACAGATAGATGCATGAATTATGATAATTAGAAAAGATCATTTTGGCCATTGTTCAATAAATCTCAACATTCATTAATGCTTGTGTGATCATTTAAAAATATCAGTTAAAGCTGGAGTTGGTCTATTTCATTTGTGAAAATACCATTAAAAAGGCTAAGAGTTGGCATTTAGAATAACTTTCTCCCAAACTATAAACTTGAGGGTATCTGGCAGAGTCCAGAAGGGCAATGCTTTGGCTAATAGAAGTGTTCCTGCTATATATTTTTCAGTGCCAGGCTACCAAATATTAATCAAATTTCTTTCTTATAACCTTTATGTGATTTTTCCTTCTTTGTCTTTAGAAATTCAGGACATGTTATTGTCCTGAGGATTTGCACATATCATGGTGTGTAAAAGTTTGTAAGCCCTTTTAATTTTCAATATTTTTATATAAATATGATCTAAAATGTGATCTGTTCTCCTCATAAGTCCTAAACTAAATAAACTTATTCATTTATTTATTGAGGAAGATGATCCAAAACTCTGTCTGTCTGTGTGTATGTGTGTGTATAAAATTCATAGTGTGGTAATGATTGGGCAAAATTTAGATTGTTGGCTATTCTTGTATGTGCAACGTAGGCACACAGACACTCTTAAGAATTCTGCTGAAGTTTTTAAAAATACAAGGCTATGAAAAGAGTGGATATATTTGGAAAAAAATATTAGTACGATAGTAAGAAAAAAGTGAAATGTATTAAACAGTACAAATAAAGGAAATGCCAAATTTCATCTATCATTTGGGCAATATATTATCTAGTTATGGAACTAACTAAATTATTTGTAATCTATTACTAGATATTTCAGTAACATTGGTAACTGCATGGTGGACCATAGTGGATAAAACTGAAAAAGTTGAGATAATGAAGACAAGGAAAATCTTCTCCATTGATTCTAGTTCAATACATCTAATTTAAATTATAAATGACTTCATTTATTTGTATAAAGCATTGCTGCCCATGTTCCCACTATTCTTTTGCTACATTTTAATATTTTCACTTTTTAAACTCTCCTAACAATCTTTAAGTTACTATCCATTAAAAATGGCATCTGATGAGAGGGACTGTAGGGCTTGTCTTAACATTCTACAAACCTTAGGATAAAGATGTCCTGATAACCATTTTAAAGAACATTTCCTCATGAATGCCACTGCGTTATCCCTAGGCCATTGGTGAATCAATCTAGATTTGCTTATAATTATTTTAGTAGGGGTTTTGACGTTACGATGGCAGTCAGAGCCTTTGGTCAGACCAGTTCCTATTGGCTTCTTGAGGCTGCTATGGATATGCCCTCTACCTTTCAAGTATTGGGCACTCCCTCCTTAAACATGTAGAGATAATGCTGTTTTCAAAGACCACTAGCTCATTTATTAAATATGTGCTTAGTATTTTTTGAAAAATGATCAAGTTTTGTCAGCTTTACAGGTGTTTTATTCCCTATGTTCATGATGGCTTTAGGCTGGCCATGGGTTTGTTTGTTTTTTTACTGATTTGTAGATTTTTGGCAGCTCTCCACCCATGCTCATCAATTTCTGAAAACAAATATAGGATTAAATGGAAAGGAGCAGGCATCCCTATATTTTGATATTCCTGTTTACTTACTGAATGTGAAACGCCTCTTACTTTTGGGTTATTATTACACACTTGTTCTATAAAAATGTTTGAAATTCATAGGAAAAAATACTTACCATCAACAAGGACTGAAGGAAATTTAGCCAAGTGTTTGTGGTCTTCAGACTCCAAGTTCCATGATACAATCTCAGTAGTACCAGTATTTGGAATAGGACTGAATGCCACAAGATGAGATCCCAAATGATTTACAGCAAAAGTGTGAATATTATCATTACAGCATCCCTTCAGACTATGAGCATAAGCAAAAGTATGGACATTGTAGAGCTCTATAAGAACAATTTCTTGCTTTCGCATGAAAGGGCACCTATAACAAGATAATTACTCTTAGATGAGATGTACTAATAGATTTTCCTGAGTATGTCTAAAAAGAGTTATAGAATAAAATAGCTAGATGTAAACAAATAAAAATATGAGTACCTAGCTTTATTGTGAAAAATATATAAATGTGTTTAAAACTACTGTAGTTCTATTACATTAAATCTGAATCTGGTATGGTTCTGGTATGATGTAATGGCTGAATCTACAAATTGTGATTGGGCTCCGTTTGTTTAGTCCTGGTTTATTAAATAAGCCATAATTGACTATATTCACAAAATATATGTCAAAACAAAACAAATCATATTATTTCTTAGTCCAGTGTGTGAATCTATTCCAAGTTTGGATTTAGGCAAATAGCTATTGGCTTCAAATGCACTGTATGTCAAATAGATGTCCCCTTAATTTGTTTTTATCTTGTTCCTAGCCCATGAGTGAGGTAGCCTTATATTGTCTTAAGACTTAACTGAACCAATGATAAAGAGTACTTTTATTATTCTGACAGTGTTCAATGGTAGCCACAATGTGTATAAATTTCATTAAGCTTTGTCACCTAGTGGGGTTCAGTGCCCTGAAACAGGTAACAGGGTCTGGGTCAAGATTATAATGGGAGGACAGCAGATGTGAAGCTGATAAAAGTTTTCTGCTGACTGAGGGATGTGGGAAAGTGGCAAAGTGACAAAAAGAGAGCCAGCCAGGAGGGAGTAAAAGAATAATTTGGTGGTACTACCTGAAGATCACAAGAAAATAATCTTTAGTGATAGCCACCCCCTCAGCTGCAGCCATTGGTTCCTGGCTTTTCAGTTTAGCAACTACTACTCCCTTTTTGCCGCTGAAAACCATTGCTTCACTTGCACTTCTGCAAAAAAGGAGGCAAAAATACAGATGGAAACCATTGTTATTACAAAATCAATTATTTAAAAAAGACTTTTTATTCACAGATTCACGTGTGACTCACTGAGAATGCAAGTTTGAGTACTAAATTTTTAGCTTTTATTTTCAGAGTCATCAATAAGAAAAGATACAGAACAAGATCTAAACTAATGAGCCAGGGCACTATGTCTCTTTTCAGCAGTTCCTTCATCCCATATGCCTCCCAACTTGAAGTCTCACAAGTTATACAAGCAAGGAAGTCACTGATATGCCCCCCCAAAAGTATTTGCCACTTCATATATCTCTTGTTCATAGCTATATTACTTTGATTGTCTGGAAAGGTTGTTTGACTTGAATTATTCCCAATTTTAGATTCTAGTACATACTGTATCATTTCTGATAAGGCTATATAATTCTGTCTCCCTAAATGACAATCCTTGATTATTTAACTGAAATTCCTGACAGAGGAAAATATTGTATATATTGTAACCCAGGATTCAGCATTCAGTCCTGATATTTACTTGTTTATTTGTATCCGACCTTTATTATTGCAGGAAGAAATAGAGAAAATCTTGTAATATAAAATAGTGCCTGAACAATTCCCAAGCTAAATTTGCCATAACTAAAGGGCTTTTCTTCATGGAATCTACTACATTCTGCAAACCAAGAATTCCTGAACCAATAGAATTTTAATAATTTATTAGCATGAAATTAAGTTACACTAACCTATACGCACATAGGACATAATCTTTTACTGAGTTCTTTGATACTAGTAGAGAATGAGTCTTGTGCATAGGAGCTTCTTCAGAAAAAAGGTAGACTTCATGGAGCAGTTGGCATGAATGAACAAGATCAAAAACCTGAAATATTAGGGGATGAAAGTAGGTAAATAGTCAACTAGCTGCCAGCCATTTCATATCACTTTAAAGCCCCATATTTTCCCTCTTCTTTTTAAAACCTGCATTGTAGAATATAACAGGAAAAATAAAAATGAAACATTTAGTTATGCAAGAAACCCTTATTATCTTGGGTTTCATTATCTGCATTTGGAAAATATAGACCAGCTCTTCTAACCGGGGTAAAGGTATCATATATTTATAGAGGGTTTTTTTAATGCATTTTATACATCTGCAGAGTTTTAAACATATGTAAGATATATTTTGCATTGTATTTCTTGTACTGTGAGAACCAGTTTGGTGTGGTGGTATTAGGCATTAGGTTAGAATCTGCGAGTCCTGAGTTCTAGTCCTACCTTAGACACAAAGCCAGCTGAGTGACTTTCTCTCAGCTCTAAGAAGGAGCCAATGGAAAACCACTTTTGAAAAACCTTTTAAAGAAAACTGCACAGACTTGTCCAGACAGTCTCCAAGAACCAGAGCCAATTGAACAGAAAAAAAAAATACATTTACAGTCGTCTGAACCCAATAGCCTGACTGGAATGGAACCCTTGCAAATAAGCAGGGCCACCAGTATAAGAACCCTTTTAATTAAGCATGATTTTTAAACATATTGTTTCTAGAGTCTATAGCAAACCATCTATCTAAATCTGATTATCTACATCCACTAATAATGAATAATTAATTCCCATTGAAATAGTTGATTTTGTTTTCTTTATATAACATATGCAGATAAAGCTGGTTTCTGTCTACTGGGTTATTTCTCCAATCTTCCTTTGAAACTATCAAAGTATCTTGACATGGGAGGAGCTTTTTCCATATTTAATGCATTTGTACAACTCTCTTAACTACATTATACATTTTGGCTCCTCTCTCTGAGAAGCAATGCTGACAAAATCACCTGTTTGTGGCTTTTTTACAGTTATGCATATCAGCTGAGCAAAGGGCAAAAAATATTTCCAGCTAAGTTTAACCAGAGCATATAGACTTGAGTTTCTAAACAACTAACTCACCTGAATTTTGTGGTTCCCACTAAAAAAGGCCAGCAGAAGTTGTCCATTCATTGAAGATGTTAGTATTGGTGTATCCAAAAACTCACCAGAACTGTATACCACTTTTTGCAAGGAAAGATCCCAAATTTTAATGGTGGCCTTGTCAGATACAGCCACCAGCCTATTATCCAAACATACCGTGATAGCACTAATATTTTTCCCAATTTCATGCAGAGTGAAGACCGCTTTGCCAAGAGTCAAATCCCACATTTTCAAAATACCATCCCTGGAAACTGTTGCAGCTACAAGCTGTTTCTGAGTTTCTCCTAGTGCTGTAATTCTGTCCAAATGACCTACAAATTCATGGCAGCACAATTTTAGAATTTTTCCACAGGTACAAGATTAATTTCAATAAAATCAGCCTATTGACCTTTCTTTGCAGAGAAATTAATAGCGTTTTTAGCCACATAACATGTTATAGCTGGTGTGATGAATACTTTGAGAATTATGAATATCATATATTTAATCAATAATTTCTATTCTATCTTTAGATATCTTAACATTTTGACATGAGAAGAGCTTTTTCATATTTAATGTGTTTGTACAACTCTCAATCAAATTACACCTTTTGGCTTCTCCCTCTGAGCAGTGATGCTAATAAAATCAAATTTTGACTGTTAAGATTAGTTTTATTTTTCCTGGCATGGTAACTTTGAACACAATGAAAAACTGAAAATTAATATTTTTCTTGTGAAGGACTACTAGCCCTTTCTTCAGATATTCTATAGATGTTTCTGCTCATTAATATCATACAATATAGAGTATCAAAAATGGAAATATTTAATACTGCAGAAAATCAGAAGTGTTTTTAGATCAATGAATAAATTCATGTACCTGACTTGCAGAATGTTATCTATAAAGTCTCTGGTTAATCAACTCACCATCTCCTACATCAATCTCTCCCAAAGTGTGGCCAAATATAGGAAAGAAGCAGTGGTGGGATTCAACTTTTTTTACTACCAGTTCTGTGGGCGTGGCTTGGTGGGAGTGGCAGGGGAAGGATAATCTCCAGTCAGAGGTGATATTTGCCATTTCTCTGTACTACTCAAAATTTCCGCTACCGGTTCTCCAGAACTGGCCAGAACCTGCTGAATGCCACCTCTGAAAAGAAGGCTGTGATTATGAGGACAAAACTTTTTTCCAGCCTCCAAGATTAGAACTTCTGAAATTACAAGTTCTGGTTTGGCCATTCTCTCCTCCCCCTGCCCTCTCCCCTGAAAAAAAAAGAGATGCTCCAACTCCTCTCCATATCACCAAGTCAAAGAGAAATTTGGCTTGGTTGATCTACACAATTTCCTTTCCAGGATATTTTTTGACGTCCTGGAAGAGAACAAAGATCTGAACACAAAAATATTGCAACTATCAGCAGCAAACAAAATTGAACACAAACATCTCTCAATTCTTATTTCTGTCTTGATGGACAGATGGAGAGCATCAAAGATTGCAGCCAATTGATTTATATTTAGAACTGCTCTGCTCAAACCCCAAGAGCAATAAAACTGATTAAAATCATTTTGTGGAAAGAAGCAATTAGTAAATCTGCAGTAAACCTTTAAACAGCTCTGAGAATAAGGTCTGCCATTGTCTTATAAAAATACAATATTGGTGCCTCCTTTATAACTAGAGGAAAAAAATTTTTCACAATTAAAACCCTATTACTGATTATACTGCATTGTTTAACGCAGTGCAAGAATTGATTCATATCCTTAAAAGAATAGTGAGAGTTGTTTTCTTGTGCCTGGTTGTCATACATAAAAATTTAATCTGTGGGCTGTTACTACACAATGGGCACCTGGTATTATCAGAGTGGAGCATTGTGAAACATGTTATTTTCAAGCACTGTAAAAGCATGAAATCAATAACACATGTCAGAGGTAGATTGCATAGCATCAATGCTTAAGAAATGATACATTCCAAAAATGAATTAAAGATTTATCTTTCTCTTGGGTACATACTTTGTGATAACAATGATTACATTTGTAAATAAAAGAGGGTTAATTATTTTGCTGCTCGTCCAACTATTTGCTTCCAGCACCACCAAGTTAAAGTTTAAAAGAAAAGAAATTTGTCAGTATAATAACCAACTATCCCATTAAATTGGAAGACTGTTCAGCACACCTATATAGGAGCGAACTTGATTTCTCTGAACCAAATTGCAAGTCATATACATTTACACAGTACTGGCCAAATCTTATGAAAATCAGCCTATATAAAAACTTTCATGAATTAGGGATTAAATAATTTCTGAAAAGATAATATTGTCACCTTTCAAAAAATCACAGAGAAGTCCACCAGGAGGTATAAGGCAAGAAGTTGAAGGTATAAGAACAGGAATAGAAGATTTCTGACACTGAGATAAAAGAACTGGCAGGTAAAGGTATTTTTTTGGATCACCTGAATCAACATGGAAATATACATATTAATAATACTGTAATATACATTTTACACAGGAAATATTACATGGTACATTACTGTTTCCAATTCTTAAAAATTAACTTTTTCATATATAGATCCTCTGTACTTTTTGTATCAGAGAGAGATATAACTTTCAAAGTGTAATTATTAATCATATACCTTCTATAATTAAAAACTCCATATTCAATCTTGTAGCAATTAGAGGTAAGAGTTTTCCCAATTAATACAAGATTTGGCTTAGACATTATTAGGAACATTTCTCTAAAACTAATTAATGATTAATTTCATAATAAATTCAAATGAACTATTCCCACCCACCCCAAGGAGTAGCTATCAATAGAGCTCACAATGCTAAAGAGAAATGGGCCTTCCATAGAAGAGATCCACTTTGGGACCCCAATAAACATTTCAGTCATTCAAATCTATACATCAGGAATTCTTTTAAACTAAAGCTAAAGAACTGAGTTGCTTTGAATCCTTGCTATCCTTTAGAAATGAGTAAACAGTTCTTTTCAAATGGCTCCACTCTGCCTATCCTGTTGTTAGTTATGTATTTAAACTATAAATGTTTTCTAATGTAAACCTAGGTTTAGGTCTTGCTTATTTCGTGAATCACCCCATTTCCCTTGCTCTTGTTTGGATGTTTGCCTGCAGCTTGTTTTATGGGATTAATTCTCCAGGTATGTATGAATAGTATAGTTTAGTTCTGCCTTTGCTGTTTATATCCCAGTGGTGACATCTGCAGATTAAAAACCAAAACACCATAAAGAAATGTAGAATCGGAATTTTTCTATAAAAATCAGAGGCTCATAATTTGCTCTACCTGGTGCTACTGGTATATCAGCTGCAACAATCTGATGAAGACGGCCTATGAGCTGTGAAGCCATCTGGCATGGATCTTTTATTAAAACCCTCTTGGACAATTTGAGAGTCTCACTTAATAAGACTAAGTCAGGTATAGTCCTGTTGGGGGAGCCAGAGGAAAAAATGGTCAGCATGCATAGCAAATGTCTTATGTGTTTTTAATACAGAAGCTTTTTAACGCTGAGCTATTGTATTTCTTATTCATTGCATGACAAAATGAGTAGAATATAAACACAAAATCGTTGAGTGACAAATAATTAGAGTGTTGAAATACTCTTATTACAGGTAGGAAACATGATATTTAGTGAGTTGTTGAACTATTTTTTCCCTTCGTTATTAGCCAGCAGGCACACCGATCAAGACTTGGGCGAGTTCAAAAACAGCCAATTAGAGTTCTGTGAGAAGATGGCATACAGATCTGATAAAGTAAATAATGTCTACAAGTTCTCCAGCCAGGGATTATTTGAATGTTATTTTGATGTATTGTGAATCTCTAAAACATATTTCAACACAGACTATTCCAGACTTTCCATAGTTGATACCCTCTGGAACCCCCCAGTTCTAATGGATTACAAATCCTAGCCAGCTCACGGTAATGTAGTAAGTGGGGAACAATGAGTTGCTTCATTATATTAGGTTAATGCAGATTTCTATTTTACTATTGTGAACTGACCTGTCAGCATTAATAGCTGCTTCTAGATCTTCTTCAATACTGACAATTGATGAGGCCCAGGATTTGTACAAAAGAAACTCATAATTAAAGAGACATTCTTTAATCAGAACAGCAATATTTTTTGACCTGATGAGATGATATGGAGCCCCAAAGATTTTACGGACATTGAAGTTGTAGCTGGTCTTGGATCCTTTTTTCAGAGTCCAGGCAAGAGGCTGAAATATTGATGGTTCATTGCACTTCTTGAACTCCTGTGAGCTTCTACCTAGGTAATAGTCAGCAAAGATAGCATGTAGTGATATTTGGGAATCTTGTGATTTCAGGTATCTTTGTATGCACACATGCTTTAAAGAAGTATGAGCCCAAGTAAAAACATATGTGTTATCAGTTCTTTGCTCTCTCAAATCATCTCCAAAATCATCTAAAAATTTCAGCCATAACACTAGTGGAAATGCTGACACTGAACTTTTTTGGAATTTATTTATTTCTTGAATGACCACACAATCCATTGACATAAGGTTGAGCAATTCTTCCTGAGTGATGCCATTTCTTGAAAGTGTTAAATAAGCTGCCACCCTTTGTATAATTTGTTCTCCATGGGATTTTTCCATTCTGCTCAGCCTCCAAGAATATATGTCAGGTATATTTTGCGGGAGACACACCTCTTGATCTGGGCTGAAAGATGACCATAAACAGGATTCCTTATAAGCACTGTATAAGTAAAGTGGCAATGGACAGGCTTTGCATGCTTCCATTAAATGATTGAATTGATATTGAGAGAGTCTTCGATTATCCTTTTTGAGCCAGCAGGTGATAATTTCATTGATTTCTTCAAATGTTAAAGGAGGTATTTGAAAAAAATGTTCTTTCAAGGTTATTTTCTAAATAAAATAAATATATCTCAGTTTTTGCATTATTATTACCAATCACAAAATCAACAGGATCAAATGCAAGACAATCTAATCAAATATTAGAACAAAGGAAATTTAACATTACAGTGAGATTTTTCTGTCACTTAATCCAGTAGTCACAGTTATGATTTTTAGGTTTACAATATAAACTAAAAACTCAGCTGAAATTGTGCATGTTTAGTATATGTGTGTGCACAGCTGCAAAGTAGGTTTACGTTAAATTGTGTATAAAGGAACAGGACAGATCTTTCCCCTTCTAACTTGTCTTCCTGAGTTCAATTTCATAGCACTTTTTCATCAAGTCCACCTAGTACTATAAGAGACTGAGAAAAGATCAAAATACCAGGGAGATAAGACATGAGAAGCTTTTCTGTTGGGCCCACCCTTCACCTTAAACACGCACACTTTGTTATAAATATTAATTAAAAAGAAAAACATCCTGCTTTATACACAAAATTTCTCATTTTCATTTTCATCTTTGTACGTGTATGAGTACAAACTTGAAATTCAGGCCTGAGCTTCAAACAACAATGACTGATTATTTTTTCCAATTTACAAATAAAAGATTTTAGATTTGTATGCCAACAGCCAAAACAAAACCATTGGTCTATTATCATTTTGTGTAAGGAACATAAAAGCATAACAAGTAGGTAGGGAAATGTGCTGGAATATAATATATTCTCCATAACGTTTAGTGAATTTAACATCATTCCACAACACTGGTTAATAGAATGCTGGCAATAAGGCTGGTACATAACTTATCCTGAGAACTGGAAAGAACAAAAATAGTATTCTGCCACTCTAGATATTCTGGAATGGCAACTTCTAAATGTAAACCTTCCTTTTCCGTAATTCAATGAATGTAAGTTCTGAATATGTGCCTTATTTGCCCTGATAGTAGGTTGGTTGGTGGACAATTTTGTGAATCCTGTGCTGATCCCATAAAATGTATGACTATTATAAAGCAGCAGTCCCCAACCTTTGCAGCTGGGCGGCACGGCTGGAGATGGGGGAGAGGGGAAGCAGGCTGCATGAATGGTGACTCAGTGTGCATGTAGCTCGATTTGATCATACATGCCAGCCCATCACACTCGCATAACCTGGTTCTGAATAGGTCATGGCCTGGGTAGTGGGCACCTTTGAAGCAAAAGCAACTGACAACATAATAATTTTGATTCTGTGGATTATAACAGTGGTATGATTATAACCCATTATAAGGAATCAAAATTATTATGTTCCCAGTTGCTTTTGCTTCAAAGATGCCTGGCGTTATTAAGCTTCCTTAGAATCCCAACAATTTGAGAAGATATGGAATGCAAAACAATTCATTCAGGAACTTCATTTTACCTTCAGTTTTCTTATGCATGAAATGTCTGATTCTGAGCAAGTAGAAACAATAAAATGCACATTCGTTGGTAATTCAGATGGTATCCAAGAAAGATCAGTACCATATTCCTCTGATAACTCATCTATATTATCCAAGCAGATTAGGAGTGGCTTGTCTTGTGTAGCAAATTCCAGCAGAGAGGAAAATTCTTCTACCAGTCCCTCAAAATCCTTTTTTGAGAAACACAAAATATAATTAGATAATGAGTTCTGTGCTGTAGATCAGCCCATGAGGACTATTAGTAGGGCTCTGCATGCTTTAAAAATTATTCAGATGAGATATTTTGGAACACATGAGGGCTGTCCCAAAAGTGCATTTTTTTTTCTCCAAAAGGCAACTGAGTATTTTTGGGGTTTGGTTTTTTCTTTGAAAATGTTTCATTTTTTATCCAAGAAACTTTGTCAATTCTCCTTCAGTTCTGAAGTTTCTTGGATGAGAAGTGAAACATTTTCAAAGAAAAATTGTAAAATTGTAGGGGTTGAGACAGTTTTAAGAATGTTGATAGTACTGTAAGTTTTGAGAATTATCTATATTAAGCCTTTTAGAAAAATACTACAATTTTGTCTAAATAAACAGCAGGGTCAGGCCTAGTAAAGATGTGGATCGGAGACCATCAGAAAACCTTATGGCTGCAGATGATGGTGGGAAATTTCAAAACAAAACAATTCCTAGAACTCAGTGGAAATGCCTTTCTTCTATTTTTGCCCCAAAAAGCTGCATAGATGTTCCCTTGTTTTTGACCAGGAGTCAATCTGAACTCAGAGAGTGTTTACACAATCAGGAGAAAACCTGAAGTTTTATTAGAAGGTATAATTATGATTAACAGATTAATTAGGGGCCAAATAGTTCTAAGAGGACTTAGGGTGGGAGGGAAGTCCAATTAAAATTCCTAATAGCCTGCACAACAGTTTTAAATGTTAGCAAAGGAGAACATTTGTAAAGAGATGCATCACAATATTAAAAATGTTATTGCAGAGAAATTGCTTGTGTGTTTACACAGTGCTGCTTCTCTGCAACACCATTTTTAGATTGTGCTCAATGATACAAATAAGGATTTCTCCTTGCTTTCTTGTGCTGAACAGGTAACGGGCACTAACCACTCTGACCCTACATTAATCTCCTCTCTCCCCCTCCCCCCATGCACCCTGTTCTTTCTCCACTCATCTTTTTACTATAATTTTACGTTGATTGTGATTTCTATTTTTATTGTTTCAAAATATTTTTAGGATCTGAATGTTTTAATGCTGAAAACCACTGAGAGTTGTTTTGATATGTGATGGGAATAAAATAATAACATAAAATTAAGCCAAAAGGCATTTTGTGCTCTCTACCTCTATCAGATCAGGTGTCATTATTTTCAAAATATTTTGTACTCATGGAAAATATCATACAAGGCTACTTTATGGACAAAAATGTGTTTAATCTGTTCTTTATTTCTAGAAACTAATTCTGTGTGACTATTTGTTATTAACTTGTTGTGTTTTCAGTTTTTTGTTCTCCTCAAGGTATCCATCTGCCCTAAAACTCATAGGGAGCACTGATCCCATCTCGGTCCCAAGGTTTGTGATCTGCTGCCTAATGCTTCATATGAAAAAGCATGGAGGCATAATAAAAATGCATTGTTGCTTGATCAAAACAAGGAAGAAATAAATAATACCTCAGATAAAGTAACAGAAACATTATAAATGTCAGCTATTTGGTAGCAAAGACTCAGAAGCAGCAATCGGACATTTCTGCTTTCTCCAGTGATGCCAATAAACCGAAGCACAACTCTGAGATTCCTGGATCAAAAAGGAAGAAATAAACAAATAAAGTCTCCCTTTGGAAAAGCCTCTTTAAACTGCTAGTTTAAACCTTTAAAGCCTTTTGGGTTTGGGTCAGAGTACTTGAAACACTGCCTTTCTGTAATATGGCCCCTGTTCCACAAAATAAGGTAAAATAGGGGGGTTCTGGGCAACATAATGTTCTTGCTCCAAATTATTTTACCAAGGGGAGCTCTTTTTTAAAAAAAATTAAAAACCACTTGCATTAAAAAAGGACCAAAACAAGCTTAGCTTTTATTGTTTGGATTATTTTTTATTTCAGAATCTATTAGAAATAATGTTTTGTGCTGCATTGTGATCATTTTAAGAACTATATTTTATTTGTTTAGTAGACTTTCTTCAAGATCCTATGTGGATGGTGTCCTACCCCAATTCAATAAATAAAATAGTTATACTATATATGAGATGTTTTTTAAATAAATATATATTTAAAATAACTGTTATTTAACTGAATTGAGCATAAAATATGCAAATTATTACAAAATATGTATTTTCATTTTTCAACATAAAGTTATTTTACATAATTCAGAGGACTTTGAGATCCAGATCAAGCTAATTCATAAGAAGCAAGCAAGCCAGATTGCAATAAGTAACATCTGTTAAGAATTTGTCCAAATTCTATGTTGACTTTTTTTGGAGACTAATTTTCAAGGTATATTTCCAAGGACTTACAATTCTTAATATCCCTGCCAGAAAGGAGTGCAAATAATTATTCTTACCCAGAAATCGAGTTTGAAGCCAAACTTCTGCAATGTGCAAATAATTATTCTTACCCAGAAATCCAGTTTGAAGCCAAAGAAGCAACTTCTGCAATGATCCCACTTTTTCCCGATCCTGCCACACCACAAACAACAATTACTTTTCTGTTTAAAGATGTAACCTGATTCTTCAGCTTGCTCAAGAAGATTTCTCTTCCTTTTATATGTTTAATCCTATTTGTAGCAGAAAAGCATATTTTTGTAATGTCATAGCAAAGGTGAAAGTTGCAATTTTTAATCAACTTAAACAAAACAGTTTACCCCAGACTTCTAACAGAAGACTTTTTTCTTGAACTAAAATTGGAGTCCTCTTTCTCAGTAACATTCAGAAGTCAGCTTTTAGATGTTTATAGGAGTACTAATACCTTGCTTTGCACTTGAACAGGAAAGTGTTAATGGGGCCAGAATAACTACAAATATATTCCATAGCAGTTGCAAAATTGGTAACCTGAGAGGGACTTCCTTTCTTAGGAGAATGTAAGTCAGGGGTGTCAAACTCAGCTCATCACGTATTGCAACTTTTTTTCCCCTTCGCTAAACCACGTGTGGATGTGGCCAGCGCATGACGCACCTGGGAATTGACAGCCCTGCTGTAGGTAAAAAGCCCCAGGAAGTGCTGAGAAATACTTGGAGAAAAATACCCCTTCCCACTGCAGCCCCAAGGAGGGACCAGCCAAGTGGGATGGAAAGCAGCATGCAGTTTGGAGAAGATACTGTAATTTTGGGCTAATATAGATTCATACTAAACCAAACCTAATGGCCTGCTAGCATTGGAAACCAGTCATCTAATCTCTGCACCCCAGGACATGCTCCACTTAGAAATAGTGTAAGCAACATTTGTTATTTGTTTAGTGATTTTTAAGTCTGCATAATTTAAATAAACTAAAGGCAATATCTGTGTTAGAATAGTTGATATGGGACTGGTTTAGAATAAAGCATAATGTAACTCTCTGCTCCTCTTCCTCCTTTTAACTTAAAATCCTCAAGGTTTTTCAAGTGCGTGGTATTCACACAACATAAGGAACCATAAAGGAATTAACCACATTTGATAATACAGTCTGTGTTCATTGTGTAATGTGAACCCCAAAAACTTGACTGAGTAAAGCAGAGTCCACTTAAACATGATCCCAATTAACAAAGCTGTTGTGACCTAGGCTACATACTGATTAGCACTTTTTGTGTGACTGAAAGCTGTAATTTTCAATCCCATTAATGCAATTCTCAGTCTGTGCTGAAGTAATTAAATGCTTAACAATTCAGGTGGGAGGGTTATTTGCAAATTAGAGTAAATACTCTAAGAAATATTTGCCCTGCTCTGTTTAAAGTCAGTTTAGTGCATGCTACCAGGAAGAGTCTAATGGTAGTCTAATAGTAGAATAGATTGAAATGAATAGGCCACTAACACAACACACTTTTTACCTGTCTGATTTTACAGCTCAAGACTACATTAATGTTGTTTCATTATTGTATTGTGATATAACATTAAAAGTATACAACATATTTTTTTTTCCTTGGGGAATGGCCTGAATGTTCCAATAAAGGGTTGAATCTAGCTTGCTTCAAATATCTACAGTACAAGAAGCTAATAAAGATGTATTCATATATTATGGTACCACGTATATTAGTGAACACTTATAACTCATTTCCACTTTTAATATATTTCCTGTGATGAAAAGCATTTCTGGTAAGTAAATAAAACCCTCCAAAACTTACAAGACCTGATAATGCTGAATGTGTTCCAGAATCTCTTCATCATTAAGAATGTTAAATTCTTGCTTTCTTTTAGTACATAGACTTTCTGGCATTCCTTCTGAACTGATGATTCTGGTCAAATGAAAATAGAGAAAAATAATTTGTATGTTACAGTGTCCATGAAAGCATGAAATTATACAACCAAGGGCATGTTGAAGAAAGTATCCAAACTTGCTTTGCTTTGCTTTAAGGAATTCCCAATTCCATTTGAATTCAGATATATCTTAGATCATCTTGGATTAGTCTGATTCAGTACAGATATAAGGTTTGGTCCTTTGTGTAGTATTTATTTAAAATTACAATTTTCACAAAGGTGAAGAATGGTTTAATATAAGTAAAGAGACACATGTATAGCATAGACCTCAAAATATTCAATTAACAATAAGCAAACACATTTTTTCAAAAAGATATTACTTTTTAGCATCACAGTTTATTGAATATTACTGTTACTTTCAGTGTATCACCATTTATCTCTTCATGGGTTGAATCCAAACTTATACAAACTTAGAACACTCACAGAAATCAAGTTGGTCGTGATTTCCCATTAATTAGAAGTGATCTATGAATATAGGCAATGGAATTTAATTTGTAATTTGTCTGAGGAAGTGAATCTGAGCAAGGAAAGGCAACAACAATGTATTTTGTTCTATTTCTAGGACTAAGTATAGAAAACCAGTTGACTAAACCCTAGTTTTAGGAATAAGTTATCCATTCAGTGTCCACAATTCTTTTTAAAAAGCAGATATGAAGCTAACCTGTTGAAATGATTAGTAGCAATTTTCTGAAAGTCATTGCAAAGGCATTCTAGGTAGTAGGCATGGGTCCTATTCCTGTTGGGATTGATGCCACTTTTTCCCCAGCTAACATTCTTCTTGTAAATATTTGTATGACGAAGCTGTAAAGGCAAATCTGTTAACTTCTATTTCAAGGAAAGCGTTTGCAAGTAGATTAACACAATAAAAGATCCAAGTTTCTTACACTATTTGACTGAAAAGCAGGCATAGAATGTAACAGTGAATAAATGCTAAATACAGTGATAAATTTAATTCTTCAAATTTCCATTAACATTATGATCTATAGCTGATTAGGAAATCAAGATTTTCTGCATACCCAATACATTTTTTCAAACAGCTACAATGCCCAGACACAGACTTCAACAACCTTTACAATACTATAATACGATGCATTACAACTCTCAGATTCCATAATACATTGACAATGAATCTTTAAATATTTCCATCTGAAAATTAGGGTACTTTTAAATTTACCCTTACTTGTATGGAACATGACAACCTATGCCCCTTTATCCTACCTTAGAATGAATGCTTTTCACAAAGTTTTGATGTTGTTCATTAATAGTTTTGTTCACTTCTAGTTTTAGTGGGTGGATGTCAATGTATTTAGATGCCTGGGGATCTGACAGATTGCATTGTAGGTCAGTTATATTTCTTTTGAAGCAGTGACAGTGATCCTCACGTGTTCCTTGGACTTGGAATCCTTGATCCACTTCCTGCTGCAGAGCTTGGAAAACACAGAGAAATCAATATAATAAATCTCTCCTTGAAAAATATAACAAAATGCCATAAGAATTGTATTTGGATAGCCTCCTCACTTGTTCTAAGTAGCATGGCTGCATCTTCTTGACCAAGAACAATTGTAGCATATTCCTGAAGTATCTTATGCAGTTTCTGGAAAGACTCCAGCCATTTGCTTTTAGCTTGCTGTCTGCGACTTGGTTCTTTACTGAAGATATCTCTGTACACCGTGCTGGGCAGACAACATGAAATGTACGAAGTATGAGAAACCACTTTCAAATTAATAAGACATTCTTCTCATCTTAATATAATACCCACTAACTCTTGTGATAAATGAAAGCAACTTCTGAAGAATTTTAAAATGTGTTATGGACAAAAGTATGGGGTCATATAGAATTGTGTTATTCTAGATCTAGAATTGCCTCCCAAAGCAATACATGCTTGCTTGAAGAAACTTTAGAAGAGTCTCTACAAATCTTAATGTTTGGTTAGTTTCATAATAGGAGAGAATATTCTTCAAACAGTTAAAGTCTATGGCACTTGGTGTTTTAAAACTTTACAGTAATATTTTACATTGTACCTGGAAAACATTAGTACAGATCTTTTAATGTGGACATCAATTACTAGCCTACCTGTTGCATTTTGCATCAGTCACAACTTTTATACACACTTCAGTTATTATTACATAAAATAAATAAAAATAGGTGTAACAAGTATGGGTAATTATCGCAAAAACTGACCAACAAAAAATGGCTGCAAATGGCACAAACCCATAAATGTTTAAAAGTACTCTTTCTATCCAATCTGCTACTTAAGAATTTGATGATACCTGAAGTTCATCAAAGAGCACTCCCAACCTGCAGGTCTGTTCTTTCAAGGGAATGCAACTCCACCCAGAACAGGCTAAACTACAATCCATGAGACAAATTTCCTACTGAAAAAAAGCTGCATCTACTGCCTTGTCAGTATTTGATTTTAACATGCTATCCACCCAACACATTGCTGAACTTAAGCCAGTCTTTAAAAGCACATTTGCTTTCTTGGGGTTAAATGGTGATGATCATTTGAGCTGGCTATCATAAGCATACTGAAAAGCCCATTGAAAAATTGTGCTTGACCTCTTCCTGCTGCAGTTTCATGTTAGGTCAGACCACACAGAGCACAAAAGAGAACCCTGTTTGAAAACATTGTGGCCTAACTCTGAAATAATAATCCCTGAGCACCATCGTCTGGTGACAGTGAGAATCAGACACCAGAAAATGATACTCCCAAAACCTAATCCCAGTCAGAAAATCTAGAGATACCATACAAAAAAACTCAAAAACTCAGAAAAAAATAGAAAAATTTTCCTCACTCCTATCCAATATTTAGTATTGGTCATGCAGCAGAATGACCAAAGCTTTCTCTGTTCTACAGAGCTGAAAAATGGATTTAGCCTAGGCAGTAAATTAGTCGTCTCCAGATACATCTGGACATTGAGAGGTCATTAATGTCTTATTTTTATCAGAAATAGGATATCATTTGGAGAAAGATGGAGGAACTCTTACTTGAATCTACACCCACAGGCTTGAGTTCTCCTAGTTTTAACTTTAATCTTTAAACTTTAACTTTAACCTTTAAAGAGAGTCAATGCAAATTTAATTTACCACAAAAGTCATGCAAATATTCCAGATGCACTGAATCAAGTAAGAGTATTCATGAAAGCATGAGAAAAATAGCAAGTTTAGTGTTAATAAAGCCCAAATTAGGCAGCTAAGAGTTCATAAATTGCATTAAAAAAGACTGTAAATATGGTTTGCTTAACTTTGGTTTAGTGTGTTGCATGTATGTAATATGTTTCTAAGTGATAATTTATGGTTTAGCATGTTATACAATTGAAATTACAGGGTGAGCTGCTTTGCTTCAGCTAGCTGCCTCAATGTCATATGAACTTGTTCTTGCCTTGATGTAGCTTGCTTCAGTAAGTCGAGGTCTAAGCAGAGCAACATGAAACACATATATGAAACATCTTTTCAAAGTAACACACAGCTTTACTGTAGGGAAGAATGTCATGCCCTGCAGTGTCTCTCAGTGTTACTGGGCTGAAATTCTGTTCCCCTTTGATTGCTGACTGGAAATTATCATAAAATAAACCTTGTAGACAATCCACAAGATACCATAGTCAGTGGTATCAAACCCATCTATGAGAGGCACACTCCTCCTCTTGAGGTTCCTGAAAAAACAATTTATTAAAGTAACCAATGCCATCAGCCAATTAAAAAAAAATCAAAATCCAACCTACCAAATAGGCTGAAGCTTGTAAACTGCAGGGATGCAGTTTTCATCCAACTTGTACCATTGATTCAAAAGCTGAAGTTCTTTCTCATATTCAGCTACAGTCTTTTGGGTGAGTACAGAAGTATTAAGCAGATCAAATTCATTTGAATTAATCACTTCATGTTCTTTTTGGCTGCTTATCTCACCTTCAAACTCTTCCATTGCATTAAGATCCTGACAATCCTGAACAATTTCATCTTGACTTTCATTTCTCTCTACTTTGATTTCATCTTTCAAATCAGCAGGTGGTATGTATTTTGATGTTTTGATATCCAGCTTCCTTTGCATTACCATAGCTTTAATTAACTCAAAAATGTCCTTGCCTATTATTTCTGGAAGAGAGAGATCATCGTACTTCTGGCCAATAAAAACCTGAAATGCAGTGTGAAAAATAATTTTAAAATGATTCTTAGCAAACAAATTATTTTCTCTGAAGCTGATGGCATTCCAATATATTTAATATATTGTGCCAATTGGAAATTAAGCGATCCAATGAAGCAAATGTTATGAAGATGATCCGATTAATTTTGGTACATAGATGAATTCTGCTTTTTATTTCATCTAGTAGATTTGTAACAGAAACAGATTCATAAGAGCAACATTTTTCATTAGTTGGATTCGTATGTGGTTGGTTTCAATATGGACTATTGAAAACAAGTCATATTAATAGAATAACAGAGTTGGAAGGAACCTTGGAGTTCTTTTAGTCCAACTTCCTGCTGAAATAGGAAATCCTATACCATTTCAGACAAATGGTTGTGAAATCTCTTCTTTAAAACCTCGAGTATTGGAGTACCCACAATTTCTAGATGCAAGTCATTCCACTGATTAATTGTTCTAATTGTGGGAAAATTTCTCTGTATTTTTAGGTTGTTCTCTCCTTGATTAACCATAAATAGTGGTATACAACAGTGGTTCTCAACCTTTTCTTCACCACGGACCCTCTTTAAATATATTTTGTGTCCACGGACCCAAGACTTTACTCAAGATTTAAATCATAAGACCTCTTCTTGGGCCCCCTGTGACAACATCATAGTCTTCCATGAGTCCACAGACCACTGATTGAGAATCACTAGTTTACAAAATACAGTTATGTATTGGATTCACATATCACACTAAGTCCAAACCAAATATTAGGGCTTAAGTTTGATGTGTAAATTCAGCCAGTTGTTGCTTATTTAACAAACCATGGTCATTTCTTAGCATGACGAATGAACTCAGTACTAATCAGAGCAAACAAACTTCATTAAAACATATAAGACTGCACAGTAAAACTGTCAGATGAGTAACTAATTCTATTCAACTTACAATAAATATATGGAATCCCAACTGTTGGCATTTCTTTAATGTCCTTGTATGTAGAGAAGCTGTTTGATGATCATTGATAATACCATCTTTTACTCCCCACCTTAGATCAAATAAATGGAAGTCATAACCTCTCTTTTTACAGTAGTTGTATAGCCATGGGAAGGATTTCTCCATTAATGCATTTCGTTCTACTTCTGAATCTAATTAAAATAACAAAGCAATATTGCTAAACAGTGTTACCTTGATTTTAAAGTAATCCTATGCAACATCTAATTTTTTAATTTTTTTTGGCAGAGTTGCAATATTTATATTCAGTATCTCCAATCTAATTGTAATACAAGTGGTCCTCGAATTATGACAACTGATCCCAACATTTCCATTATTAAACAACACAGTTTTTAAGTGACTTTTACTCCATTTTATGACCTTTCGCCACAGTTAGGTTAATCACTGCAGTTGTTAAGCTACATAGTAACATGGCTGTTAAATGAATCTGGCCTCCCCACTGACTTTGCTAGTCAAAAGGTTGCAAAAGGTGACCCCCGCACTTTGCAACAGCCATAAATACATGCCAGCTATCAAGCACCTCAATACTGATCATTTGACCACAAGTATGCTGCAATGCTCATTAAGTGTGAAAAACAGTCATAAATCACTTTAGTGCCATTGTAACTTTGAATAGTCACTAAATAAATGGTCGTAAATTGAGGATACCTGTATAAAAAAAGCCCAATGAATTAGAAAGGGAATCTCTTTTAATTACTTTAGTTTATTTGAATACACACACAAACCCATACACACACACACTAGCCAGCTACTAACTACATCCAAACATATTTAGCTTGGTGTTCTTGCATAATGTGCTGTCAGACTATAAAGCTTTTCATTTATAAAAAAATGTATCAAATGAACAAAAATATAGAATTATAGATATACTCATCCTTCAGATGCTACAAGAATGCCATTACTTGGCTTCCTAATGGTTTTAATAATATTAATATCCACGACAACAACAACTATTTAAACCTCAAGGAATGTTCTTTTTTGTTTAGATTAGATTTTGGCCTTCTATAAAAATTTAAATTCCCAAATCATCTGGAAGTACCTTGATAACCTCCACAGATATAGATCATAAACTTTTTCTTTCTGGTTAAATAGGGCAAATGGATTTGTCCTCTCACTACATCCCTGCTTGTGTTGGTATCTGCTGGGTTCTTCTGACAACATGTTACATCATTTGTGGCATCCTGGGTTTCCATTAGGAAAATGCTACGGGGTTTAGTTTCTTCTGTCTGGGTTTTCAGATGAGATGTAGTCAAAAAAGAGTAACCCTTGAAAACAGCCTTTTTTGCTTCATTCTCTTCTGATCCATTTATGTTTGAGAACTGCAGAGACCCTGAAAGTGTGCTTCTGGATAAATATATTATTCTTCTGTTGAATTTATTTTCTTGGATTGTGTCTGTTTCTTCCAAATGAAGAAAGTCACCACTTGTTTGTCTTTGGGGGATCTCTCTGTACTTTTGCATTGATTTTTGTGTTTTTGTCTTGTATTTGGAATTTTCAGTGAATTCAGAGACTTTGTCTCTAACCAGAGGCTCCTCTGAACAAATATTGATGGCTGCATGGTAACCTTTGGCCTGACCTGTACTGTCTCCTTCCTGCTAAAGAGAGAGAAGAGTTTGTAATTAGGTACATAAATTATAAGTACATTCTCTACTAATAAGCATACATTTTTGTAATGAGGACAGTACCCCAAGTATCTCTTTCCTTCAATGGAGGTAGCACATTAAAGGCTTAGAAAGAATAAAATATTCTTAAACTTTGCTAACACCCATTACACTGTTTTTGGAGGACTATCTGAGATGGCATCAATACAAGGATATTAAATGAAAGATCAGGATGCAGATTATGACTATATTGGTGATAAGATGGGTCTCTATCCACAATACCATTTGATTTTAAGTGAAATTGTTCTTAATGATGGAAGTATATACAATATGAGTGTTTGTGTATATATATATATGCAATCTTAAAGAGAAATGTTAACATTTTAAACATTCACACTTAGTGTTTCCACCCTTAATAGTAAAACATTAGTAATATATAGTATCTGTATTTGCAATTAATATAAATTTGAATAAAAATTTTCCATAAGTGAAAATTTATTCAAGGTTGTTTTTATTTTTGACTTTTTAGACCAAGCAATTTGCTATGCTTTTAAATCCTGCTTTGATTTTACTTTATTTTCTCCAGTGTTTGGGACAACAAAATAAGTAGCTAGCAAAAGAAATTTCATCAATTTTTCTTACTGACTAGACAACTCTGTGATTTGTTGGGTCATCCTTTGAGAGAAAGGTAGTACACAGTCTGATGTTACCAGGATGAATATTAAATTTTAGGCTGACCATTTTTTACTCTATTGCCAGACAGTTCTGTGATTATCTAAGAAGAATACATATCATAAATAGAAAAATGGTACAAAATCAAATTGAACAAATCAATATTATCTTAACTAACTGACTAAATAAACAAATAAATAAGTAAATAAATAAATAAATAAATGGAACAACCATGGGTAGACAAAAAAGCAATGGGAGTGAGATTGACTTCTGACTTCCTGCCAGCTTTCCCAACTTTCTTTGTGAGAAGCTGGCAAGGGCCATTGGAAATCACCATCATGTAACTGTGTGGAAACTGCAATGGCCACAGCTTTGTGAATAAAACTGGAAATTTCAGTTCCACAGGATAATGGGCCTGGATTTATTTATTTTATTTTTTACAAATTCTTTAATTTAGCAGATTTTAGGTACCTTGATTCAAAAGTTGTTGTGGTATAATACACAGTTTGAACTAATTTGAGGGTACAGAGAAACAGATAAACACAGCCAGAGTTTGTGTGTGTGTGTGTGTGTGTGTGTGTGTATGTACTGTAGATGTGCTCTAATAACAAAGGAATTGATTCCACTCCTTTGAAACCAAGTTGGTGTTTGATCAAATATTTTGAAAAATAACAATTCAACAGAAACAGATTCCATTAACAACATGGTCAGCAAATTTATAAAATATTTGATCTTCCATTTGAACAAATTATTTTAAAAATATTCTGATTGAAGAGCGGGAGAATATACAGTTAAGCCATATGTTTATCAACTTACCTGTCTGTTATTTAATGGCACAAGACTTCCGAAAATTGTATTAGAGAAGTGGGATTTATGGAATGGTTTCTCTTACCTTCATGATGAATGTGTCTGTATTGTAAAGGTGTCTTTTAATGCTTAAAGGGCGATTCAGACTTTTAGCAAAACGAAAATACATTTGATGCTGGAAGGAACCAAGACAGACATTAGGAAAATACTTGCTTTCCAGGTTTTTCCAAATATTTAAAGGGGAAAAAAATAATCACCTACTTTTAAGTGGTTCTTCACTTTCATGTCTGTTTCTTCAGTTATGTTTACATATGGAATATTCCAATGACATTTTTGTTTCTAGAGGAAATTTAATAACTTTAATATTTTTTAAAGGGCCTTATTAATCTGTTGCTAACTATCTTCTTAAAAATACTATTTTACTTGAATGTATTACCAACTAATAATAAGGGCATAGTGATAATTCTGTAAGTACTGAAAAGGGGTTATTAATTATTTTTTTCCTTCATTAAAAGATTAATTTCTTTTCATTTCTTAAGAACGTAGTTTTTGCCAACATTTGTTTTTAAAAGCCTTATTACAGCAAAGGGACATATTGGGGCCACAGTTCATGCTACTTTCTTTCTTTCTACTAATAGTGATCACAATGTAACCCAAAGGTCCAGGTGATCTATGCCAGATGTTTTGAAACACAATTCACATCAATTGCATTCACTCTATGTAATAGAATTATGAGAGTGATTTAGGCACCTTCCATATAGCCATCACTCCTCATTAACAGTCAGATGCCAAAGCATTGGTTTATAATGCAACATTCCATTAACATCTTTAACATTTAGAGAAATCCCCATAAACCTCACTATATATATTACAATTCCATTCCAAAGAGATAACAAATGACACATGATCATCATTCATGAATCAATGAACTCTCAGATTTTTTTTTACCTCCAACAAAGAAAGCCCAATCTCCATTCTTTGTACATTCTTGAGGAAGAAATTGAGTTCAACTGTTAAGGATTTTGCAAATAAATCTTCAACATCGCTCCTCGCCCCCTGCTCCAAATTACCCAAAACAATACGGAAGCCTCAATCCAAAAAGAAATCACTTTGGCGGAAAAACAAATCTGGTCACGTTGCCAACTTCAAAAGATACAAAAATGTATGCCACCAGATAAAAACTGAATGCACCAATTATCACATTAAACAAGAAGAAAACCTTCTATGCACCAATTCCACCCGTGCTTTCTACAATTTTGTAAACAACAAACTAAAAGACTCAAGGTCCATCCCACCCCTGAAAGGACCTAATGGTAAAGACTGCAACGATGACACTATTAAAGCCAACCTCTTTAATATATTCTCTGATTCAGTATTTGTAAATAACAATGGATCATGCCCAGTATTTCCTAGTCGAACCACAGACAACTACAATGATCTAATATATATTGATTTTACAGATGACAATGTTGAAAAAGCATTACGCAATCTAAAACCATCTCTATCTATTGGACTGGATGGAATATGTGCCTACTTCTTAAAAAGCTACCTACTGCCATAGCTGAACCTCTAAGCATAATCTTTAAAAAATCTTTCAGGACCAGCTCCTTGCCAAAACTATGGTCACTAGACACGGTCATCCCCATCTTCAAAAAGGGAAACCCCAGCCTAGTTGAAAATTACAGACCAATCTCTTTATGCTGTGTCACCTGTAAAATCATGGAATCAATTATTAACCAATCCATTATCTTCCACTTAGAAACAAACAACCTACTCTCTAATAAACAATTTGGTTTTAGGAAAAAACTATCATGTAATCTGCAACTCTTACACTGCAAAAATATATGGACTACACAACTCGATCAGGGCAAAGCAATAGACTCAATCTACATAGACTTCTGTAAAGCCTTTGATTCAGTGGTACACGACAAACTACTCCTAAAACTAAAATCTTACGGTATCTCTGGACACCTGAATAACTGGATAGAAGCATTCCTGTTAAAGAGACAATGAATGGTCAAAATTAGGAGTGTCCTATCAAATTATGTACCTGTCAACAGTGGTGTCCCCCAAGGCAGTGTTCTAGGACCAACTCTTTTCATACTGTACATAAATGACCTCTGTGATCATATCAAGAGCAACTGCGTTCTCTTCGCTGATGATGTAAAGCTATTCAACACCACAGACAATACTACTACCCTTCAAAAAAACTTTGACTATGTATCAAAATGGTCAAACAAATGGCAACTTCAAATCTCAACAAATAAATGCTCTGTCTTACATATTGGCAAAAAAAATCAGAAAATAAAATACAGGCTGAATAGTCAAGACCTTGTTGATGATCCAAACTCTGTCAAGGGTCTTGGAGTCATCTCAAATGACCTAAGTGCTAGAGCCCATTGTAACTAAATAGCCAAAAAGGTGTTAAGAGTTGTTAACCTAATCTTACGTAGCTTTTTCTTTGGTAATATTACACTAATAACTAGAGCATACAAAACATTTGCTAAACCAATACTCAAATACAGCTCATCAGTCTGGAACCCACATTACGTATCTGATATTAACACAGTTGAGAAAGTCCAGAAATATTTCACAAGAAAAGTTCTCCACTCCTCTACTCCTTGCAGAATACCTTATGCCACCAGACTCGAAATTCTAGACCTAGAAAACCTAGAGCTACGCCACCTTCGGTCCGATCTAAGTATAGTATATAAAATCATACACTGCAATGTCCTACCTGTCAATGAATACTTCAGCTTCAACCATAACAACACAAGAGCAAACAATAGATACTCAAGGTTAATCACATCAAATTTGATTGCAGGAAATACGACTTCAGCAACACAGTGGTCAATGTCTGGAATACTCTACCTGACTGTGTTTTTTTTTTCCCCACACCCCAAAAACTTTAACCTTAGACTGTCTACTATTGACCTCACCCCTTTCCTAAGAGGTCTGTAGGGGGCGTGCATAAGCGCACCAACTTGCCTACCATCCCTGTCCTATTGTTTCTTTATTTTTTTTTATTTTTCGTATATGTATCCATGTATTCATAACTATGTTTTTACTTATACCTATTATCTTATGAGCAATTGACAAACAAATAAATAAAATAAATAAAATCAGCAGATGCACAATATTTTACTACTATGTTCCACATAGCATTCTGCATTTCATAGCAAGAATTGATTCTATTTTTAAAAGAAATGTGTTGATGTTTCTTATTTAACTATTTTTATCACTTTTATGCATCTGCCTTGGACTATTCTTAAACTGTTCATTAAGATGATGTGTATTCCCCTACTTCTTTATTAGGAAGGTCAGATGGTAACTCACCCCAGTCCATTTTGAGCACATATCTTTGTATACATGTTTCTGTGACTTTGAAATATGTGGTGATAAAAACATTTTGTGGAGCATATCAGGAGTGCATTTTTGGAGATTCAAGTTACTGGAAGGCTAAAAATAAAGACAAGTATATTTAATGTAGAATTATTGTTCTCTCAGTTCTCAAATGTGCACATTAGATAAGTACTTGTGAAGATGAAAACAATCATTATCTGAAGGTAACTGCAAAGGATTAGAGATCTCAGCTGGCTGTTTTCAAGGCTGAAAGCTAATAAACTATATAATTGGTGCTTGATGTGGCTGATGGTGCAGATATTAGTATTCTCATAATACATTATATTTTTATTATGCAGCTGCTTTGTTATACAGGTAGTCCCTCAACTTACAATCACAATTGAGCCCAAAATTTCTGTTGTTAAGTGAGACATTTGCTAAGTGAAGTTTGCCCCATTTTATGACCTTTCTTGCCACATTTCTTAAGTGAAACACTACAACTGGTTGGGAAATTCTGTTAATTATAGTCCACATATATTTGCCAAGTTGAGAAACTCTGTTTTAGAGAAAATTATATGCAGCATGAGGGAAATATGTATACAAAATGAATATATTTGGAAAAATAAGAATTTTGTGCACTAGGAGTTTCTGAAATCAAACTAATATTGAAACAACAAGAATTTCTAGAAGACCAAATTGCCAAATAAAAAGCATTAACAATTGTGCTGGTTCATTTTTAGAGACACTAACCAATAATGTTTGAAAAGAATTCAGGCTTTGAATTCCACTCAGACAACTCCATCTCAGCCTGTCTTTAAACTATATATTGAAGTTTAAATACAGGTTGAAATGGAGTTGTATCTCAGCTTATATATCTTATTATCTCAACTCTTTTATATTGTTGGTATCATATTTCACCTTTTATTAGTGACCCAGGAAATTATTGTTTCTTGACCTTTGAAGACTCCGATATCCTGCTCTGTAATCTATCTCTTGCCATGGTCAATACAGTACACTCTGATGTCTTCATTTGGAAAGATGCATAAACAAACTTCAGAGACTTTGTTATTATTCAAGATCTATACAATCTTCTAAATATTGGTTTATATGCCCTTATTCTGTTTCTGCTAGATCCAATAGCTCATTCAGGTAATTCAGATAAAGAACAGAACTCACCTTGTGAGTAACAGGGAGCAGTGTTGATCAGTACATCACATTACAGTATAGCAAAGTACCAATTTGGTACAAAGTACCAAAGTACATATGCCTCTTTGTACTATAGAGGCCTCCTGGACATATTAAAACCTTGGCAGTAGAGATGTCTGGCTGTACCTGCAAGTGATTGGCTCTTTGTTGACATCACAGCCAGATTTATGGAGGGGAGGGGCTGCTCATTGCAGCTTGCCTGATGAATTTTGCTCTTTTTGAATTGTCAGATACCACATTTTCCTCCTAATTATAATCTAACCTCCATTCAACCAGTTCCTTTTTTGGCTAAGATTCAGCAAAAACTGATGATAACTCAAATTCTGTTCCAGTTCAGGAAAAACATCTATTTCTGATTTCAATTCATGTTCAATTTGATTTTTAGATTGTAAATTTAGGCCTTGCTCCCTAAGCCTATTTTCTATGGGTTAAACCTCACTGACTATATCACAAGTTTCATTAAAGGTATTATTATTGAAATATACATACATTTGTCACATTTTCCATTGGTTGCTTATGAATTGGAGGTAAAGCAACAATTTCTTTATCATCCTGTAAAAAAGATCATAAAAGCTTACTGGGCTCCAATACTGCAACAATCTATTTATTTGAATATGGAAAAAAAATGTTCATTGCTGAAATCTAGGCAAGTATTTGTGTGTCATCTGTCCTTCATTTCTACAGTACTAGCAAGCACTGTTATTTTTAAAGTATGTTTTTAAAAATATTTTTTATCTCAAAGGTAAAATATTTTAAAAAAACTACAAGAATAAAAAAGACAAAAATTAGTTTTTATAGCTAGTCAATTTGATTGATACACAATAAATGTCTATACTTGAGATTTCAAAAAAAAAAAACCTGATGTAAAATAGTAATAGATGCAAAATCTTATAATTATTTGCAGACCCACTGTGTAGGGCGGGTGGGTGGGTGGGATCTATTAGATTTATTTGAGAATATTTGTCAACATTCAGCCAGGACTGAATAAAGCATTTCTTGATTTATGGAAATGCTTAATGTTGGCTTTATACATGCTTAATCTTGACTTTTTACATATTGTGCTCACTTTCTATTTTTGTGTGTTTGTAAAATGTGCTCCTTAATGGTACGTTTTTCCTTGCTCTTTGCTATTGTCATGTTCTACATTTGCATTTCAAAACTATGTATAGGTTAGCATTTGTATGAAAAAGTATGAAGTAAATAATAATTCTTGTAATTTTATTGTGAAACTATCATCTAGGGATCCCCCTTTAGTATCAATGTCCTACTAACCACATTACATATATCTGAAATCATTACGGTATTATATTTGTTTCATTGTTATTTCTCCCTGTTTGGAACATAAACTAACATAAATAGAAAAAAGTTAAAATTAATTTTTCATCTTTAAAAATGTACTTACTGAATGTAAAGACTTCTGAAGCAAATTTCGTTTTCTGTAAGTTAACATCATGGCTGAATGAGCTAATGTAAGGCTATATTTTATTGTTTGGCTTTTCCAGGTAATTTTTCTTTTTCCAGACCTTAGAATCAGTTACCTATAATATAAACATATATCTAATTTTCCTTCCAAGAAGATCATTTAAATAAGTAGTTGACAATCAAAGGCAAATCATAAGGATTACCTTCACTTTCACATAACTATATTTCTTATCAGCAGATCTCTACACTTTTTCTCCAAATTTCTTTAGAAGTATCTTTCTTATAAAATATCCACAAAACAGCAGTCTTGGGAATATGCCCTCTTCGATTTATCCTTCTGCTCTTGTTTTATGGAAATGGATGTTTCCCAGGCAGCATAGACTCATAGCAACATTCAGTGGCATAACTTGTTTGAGTTGCAATTCAAGTTTCAGTCTTTTTGAAGATGTATTGACATTAGCACAAGCCCAAATATGAAAGGAACTAGAAGTAGAATCAGAAGTCAAATCTAGTATGTGAGCATTATTCAGGATCGTGGCTTATTTAGCATAT